CTCCCCCCCCCCCCCACTCTCACCCGAGACAGTTTTTATCCTCAAACTCACACCCTCCTTTCTGTCCTTGAGAATCTCTGCGCGGGCCGTCTCGATCTCTTCGTTGATCTTGCAGCTTTCCTGCGGTACTGACAGCAAGCGGACAGAAACGGCTGCGGCGTCGCAGAAGCAGCCACTGCACATACGATCGTGCGAGTATGATGTGGGCCCGAAACAATCGCAGAGTTTCTCCGGCGCTGAAAACTAGCCAAATCAATGAGGACTGTCTTGAGTCAAGGACGTCCAACATTCGAATTTCGAAAGCTTCAAGGTCGAACTGAACCTCGTGCCCCAACCCAACTTGTTCACAACTTCCGTAGAGCTCATGAAGTCCGGACGGTGGGACCTTGGGCTTGGGGGGAAGCCCGGGCTTAGTCGCCTCAGAGTCTTTGTCCGTAAATCCCTTTTACCCCAAACGCAAAATCCCCACCCTCCCCTGGATACTGAGGCTCGCTCAAGCTGTCCGTGCTTGACCGAGACCGAGATCGACACAAAAGTCCCATCGGCTGGAGAACCCATGGCGAGGCCCAAAGCACAAAGTCCTCGGTAGACCCCAAACATCCTAATCCGTAGCACCCAAAGCCTGAACCCATCATGAACTCTTTTAATACCGTCCTTTCGGATGGCCCGATGCCGGTAAACCTCCAGCATCAATTTGGCCGATTCTTCGTCCTTCTTGACCGCCACCTGGGCTGTTTGCTCCCAAGTCTCCGAGGAGACATAGGAACAGTACTACTTGCATGTGCATGGCTACCCTATAAGCCTTTGCACAACACTAACTAAAGCCGTAACCTGGAGACCCTGGACCCTAAACTCTAACCGGAACCATTCTAGTTGTGTATGCCTAGGTCGGTGGTTTCAGGCAGCGCCAGAGCATCGCAGAGGACTTTATGGGCATGCTTTGATCGTTGGGGGTTGGGTTTTTTGGGAGGTTGGGCCTTTCATTGCCTTTTCCCCGGTCCCCTCCTGCCGAGCTAGGACAAGCCGGCAGTACGGGGTATCTTTGGTCAGTCCTACAGAACTCGAGCTCTTGCTTCTCGGAGCTTAATCAGCAGCCAGATTGTTCTGTGCTTGTGTTGGGGCTGACCCCGTCCCACCCGGCCAGTGTAGCACTTCACCCTGAGCCTCAATGCTCTAAGTCACTAACCTTGAAGCCCTAAATCAGTGAGTAAGCCACGATTCATATCGCTTGAATTATTAGTATTGTTACTACGGTTGTAATTACTGGTATTACTATCAGCTATCACTATTGCTATCGTTCTGTATCACAAGGCTCCTATATATTCCTTGTCACGGCGAGTTCCAGCAGTTTGGAGCCCCAAGGACTGACTACAAGCAGCCAGTTCGCGACATGAAAGCCATCCACCCCTGAACAAGGAAAGGAAGGTCCATGATCATGCTCACGACAGATGCGAAAGTGGCAGGATGTCGCAACTGAAATAAGAAGCCTACAGACTATAAAAGCCCTTCAAGCTCCTCAGATGCCATGACAGAAGAGCTGCGTTTCTCAGCATCAGCAGCTCTTTTTCGGCCGCTTCCTTGCTTTCGAAGTCGAAGATGGCTTCAGCAGCCGGGACCTCTGTTTGGGCTTCTTTGGCGTGGGCTTGAGGCTTTGATTGTAATGTGGGGTTCAGGAGCATCAGCAGCCGTCCGGCTTGCGTCCCAAGGGCAGTCGAATTCTGTGTGGAAGTCGACATACTGCCCTGCCCTTGTGCAGCGCTTCTTACCTCGTCTACGCCGGGTCGTAGGCATGAGGGCAGGGTAGGGTGGGCTGGGCGCGGACTTTGTTGGGGTTTGAAGTTGTGCGTGACGCCGGCACTGCTCGGAAGTTTTCACCAGTCTAGTCAAGAGCTTGAAGTTAAGCCGTGGAGGCGGTTCTTCTTGCTACTATCGAAACCGAAGACAGCACACTTCAGGTGAGAAGGGAATTGAATGGATGGATTTCGCATCCAAACATCTCTGGAGTCCTCTCGTGTCAGTAGTTGCATTAAGTGCCCTAAGCCCTCGACGGAACCCCTGGACCTTTAAGCCCGGATGCACGCAGTCCTGAAATACCTGGAGGAGATGTTAGTCTCCCCATCGTTTGGGAGTACCGGTGGCCAGCAGTCAGGCAAAAGTCGGGACTCGGCTATGGTCATGATTCTGCGCTTAAAGTGGTCCATCGTAGCCGTATGAACTCGTACGGTCGGACAGCAACCTTGTGAGAGGCTTGCTATTTGCAAGTGTTGCATGTCCAAGGTACGCCGTTCAGATCCACGGACCGCTGTCGACTGTGACCCATTGGCTTCACAGCCATGGTCTTGTCGGAAGGTTTCCGAGTAAAGAATGCCTCAGTTCAGGCTCCAACTGTGATGTACCTCGTTTGATTGGAGCAGCCTTGTGTGCCCGTGTCAAGTATGTCACAAACTAGCCTATCTCTAAGGACTCTAAGGGATGGTAGACGCTTTAAATCAATAGCAAGTGTTGTTTGTTGCGCCGATCCAAGTTCACCTATTGTAGCCAGTACCTTTTTGCTGAATCCGAAATTCATGGTCACCCAGCTGTCGACAGCGCAACTGTGTAAGATGTTGAGTCGGTTTCTGCATTCTTGACCTTATGCAATCAGATGTCGAGACAGTTTCCGCATTCTGGGCCTTATGTAACTCAACAAGATATATCTATTACGGCAGGTATACGACAGCAGCGGATGTAAATTGCATGGGCCAACTTCAACGCGATGATAAAGAGCACCTAGTGACCTAAGTGCTAGTTCTGCGTTGCTATATCTACCCGGCATATGGCTACTGCATTTTCTGTCAATGTGTTGACTACGGCTCTCACTGGTTTGCAAACCTACGAATGCCACCTCCAGCCAATACTAATACCCAAGTGTTCCTTGAAGGTCTGCGCCAGAAGTGGTCTTGTTAAGATTGCTATCCGCATTGCCATTACTGCTGTTTGAGCGAGGGTATATAGCTGCGACTGTCCAAAGCCCCGAACATGCGTTCGACGAGTATGACCACAAGTCTTGTGTTGCTGATTGTTGTCGTGACTGCTTGAGGACCTTGAGGAATGCGAGTACTTGAAACCGACATGCAGTTCCTGAGGAGCTCATGCCATATCCGCATGACATCTACAAACGTAAAAACAAGAAAGTGCCGAAGCGCTGACCAACCTAGTGACCTGCACTCTGGTGTTCAGCTCGGATGCTCTCTGCTTGGCAACCGGTTGGGTGCCTTGCCGCATATGGCACAGGGCCCCGCAACACTACCACAGCACTCGTGGCCGCCAAGGACTGCTGCTGCCCTCTCCAACTTTGCGACCACTTTTGCTTGAACCGAAACTCCTGCGAAGCGATCTGCGCGCCGCACAGAAACCCTGGCACGATGGTCCTTCAGCAGTGTCCCTGTTTAGCCCCTTTGTCTCGGACCTTGGCCCGCGCATGAAGTAGTCTTCAACATGCTTCGGCAGTCCACTCTGCGGGAACCCTCCAAGCGGAAACCATCAATTTGGAGATATTCGCCCTCGGCCCTAACAACTATAGCCCAGGGTCTGAGAACTCCAATGTTTCTTCATCTCATCGACAGTAAGCTCGAACGTTGAACACAGGCCCGACCTCTACACCTGAGCCCTTTACAGGGGCCTTGATAATTAGAATAGTGGGGTATTGAGGTCTGCTATACATATAGGGACAATAAACGAACAACATTAAATACTGGCCGCTACACCTGAACCCTCGATGCTCCAGATGGAATGCTCAGCGCCTGATCTACGAGCTGGATCGACGGCAGCCGAGCTTTGGAAAGGGGCCTCTTGTCACCCTAAACCCGAAACTAAACCCCACACCCTCAACTTAAACCTAGAACTAAACCCCACAAGCCCTAAGTCTTCAGCCAAACCCCAACCCCTGAACCTAACCCCAACGCCTTGTGGCATGCAGAGTTGCCCTCCTAATCCCAAGAAGAGCAAGGCGACATCCAAGGCTCCTTCAAGATCGATACTTCAGAATGAGAAGGGAGTTCTGAGGCATAGTACGGTAAAGTTCCGGCTGGGGCCTTAATTGAAATGGGATCGTGCATCCAAAGCTTGTGGGGAAGCAGAAGCCGACAAGGCTGGACAGCCTGAGATCATAAAGACCCAAGGCATAAACCCCAAAACGCCCTCCATTTTTGCGTTCTTCAAGGGTCCTGAAGCTTCGGCCGTCGGAGTCGGATTTTGCGAAAAGGCTCTGGTTGAAGATCAGGACTTTCGAAAGGTCTGGGCTTACTCAAAAGGCTTTCGGTTTAGGTGTTCGGGTGTAGCGTTTAGGCCGACTTTAAAGGCTTATATAAGCTAATGTGTTGCAGCCGGAGTGATGGATGTCTGGTGCCTGCTCACGCACCTGAGGGCCATGGAAGTATGGGATTTCCGTCAGCTCCTACAATGGGTTTAGCCGGCTTTGGGTTACCCTTCAGCCTCTTGCATGCCATCGGGCGCACACCCTTTGAAGGTTGCATGAGGCACACTAGACCACATGATGGACTTGAACCACATAGGTCACGTAGGCCACTGGTGACTAAAACCCCCTTGTTATGAGAGCCTTAGAAAAAAATCTAACTCACAAGAACGAGGCGTCTCAGGCTAGGCCCTGACGCTCAGGGCCCGCTGTCCGGGAGCCCTCGCTGGGTCCGCTCGCTGAGTGTGATCTCTGCCATGGAAATCCTTCAGAAGAGAACACAGAGGCTTCGCGCGCAAGGGTTCAGCTGTTTGGGGCGGCCCAGGAAGAAAAAAACAAAACAGCTGTTGCAGTTGTGTGGTGAGACTTGGGTCCAGCTTGGAACCAGGAATTTCTCAAGATAATTTCCGCTGTAATTGCACTGCGATACGACTGTGATCGTGGTCTCTGTGTCGTCGTGGCCGTCTTTGTAATCATCGGGGATGGTGCTGGGCTCCGGCTGGAAATGGAGGGAATAGGAGGAATGGCAACGGCAACAATCACCGGGAGAAGCAACACTACTCTAACAGACTCTAACACTTTCGGACTAGGATTCAACTCGCAACCCCAGCTATGTGACAGTCGCATAGGTTTGGCAAATGGGCTCCTCAGCCCAAGGTGCTGGTTGAACAGGGCAGAAAGCCATGAGGGTGCGCAAAAAATGCGTTCACAACATCATAAGTCTAACTTGCAAAGTGTCGACACTCGCTGACAAGAACAATACTGGCAGTGGCGCGCTGCGATGTCGTGGCTTTGGCTGGGGTTACAGATTCCGTGTTGCCAACTCTGAGAGTCCCACATCATGGCAGCCTCTCCCCTCGCGTTGCCGGCCTTGCAGCTCCAAGCATGCACCCACGTGACGGAAGCATTGATCAAAGTCCTCCGAAGCTAGGAGAGGTTTGAGGCAGCTTGAAGTTCCGCCTGCAGGAAGCTGCTGCGTTAGCAGAATCTGTGCTCACGGCTTCGATCCGGGTCTCTCTCTTCTTCTTCCTTCAGGTTAAGGGAGCTGGTCAGGCTCCCCGGCCCATAGGGCCCCCCAGCGTTCTGGGGCTTTCGGGGAGACACTATGTCTCTCTCTCTCTCTCTCTCTCTCTCTATATATATATATAAACAAACCCTCTTTGCAACTTGGCACCTTCGCGAAGTTTGACTTCGCATCTTCCGCAAATTGTCGCACCGGTGCCAAGTCCTCCGAAAGCACAGGCAAGACCTCAGACCTCTACGGTCGAGCTCTAAGCAGGCTATGGCCTTCGTGGGTTGTTGATGCTGTAGGTTTTCCGAAATTACTTGTGGTCCCACCTTGGCTACGATCTGGTGGTTATAGAAGTGTTTGAGAATGCTAGCGCCAGAAAACCAGCAAGCATCTGAATCCTAAACACTACAATCCCCTTTGTGTGGTTAACAGCGACCCTAAACTACCAAAGCCGGAGGGCAAATTGCTTCAGGCCTCTTGCTGTTGAATGGCCAGCATGCGCTTCCCATCGATCACGAGGCGCAGCACATCCGGCAGGGCTCCCCTGCAGAACGTAGCCAAGCAGGGTGGTTTAGGATTCAGGGCTCGTGTTGGCTTTATGACTTCCAATGTCACTTGTGAACATGCTCAAGAACGTCGGTAACGGAGTCATCAAGGGTACGCTCAGTGGCGGAGGGTAGTCAAACCCACCAGGTAGCACTTCTGCTTGCCATGGCCCACATCTGCTATTCCAACTCCTCGTCCTGCTTACTAGACTAAGAACTCTCAGCTCGGCCGCTGTCACTGGAGCAGTGGAGACATGTTCAGAAAGCTCAGCTCCTGTGTTGACCTGTGTTCTCAATCCTACACGCCGTAAACTTGAAACTCTTATAAATCCAGCTCACTCCCTGGAACCCTTACCTCACCATCTCGGATCCATAGCCCTGCCATGAAGCTTTATCGCTCCGAAGCAATGGGGGCAACACTACCTACCCTCACCTTACCCGCAACCCGGTGCCCACAGGCGCCTTAAGCTCAGCACGGCTTAAAGAAGGAATGATCCATGATGTTGTTTTAAACTTCTGTTATTCTGTTGCTGATACTAGGGTCTGCTCAGCCTCTCCCAAAACCCGAGACCTGGATGTTCTTAACGGTCCCTGTTGTAGTGGGTGAGACTGAAAGGCCTGAACCATGTGAGTAAGTTTGGCAAGCCTACATGTGTGAGGGAACCCTAAGGAATCATGCTGCCATACAACTCTTCCTCCAGAATATTGCCTGGAATCCCTGCCCTACAGATTAAACTGCTTATATTCATAGCCTATCATAAACCCCGAGCCCTGAACCCCTCAAAACCCGCTAAATTCCGCTAGAGCCTCAGAGCTGAGTGCGGGGCTCACCCTCTGTGCCCAGGCCACGGAAGATCTCTGAGGCCTCAGCCGGGGGCGTTCTCTAGGTGTCTAAGACGCGGTTCTTTGGGGGGTCGAAGCTGGAGGGTTTAGGTGTTAGACTCATGTTAGGGTGTGGGGCAGTATAGGGGGTTTAAGGTTTGCTTAGGGTTTAAACTCCAGACTGGTTAATGCTTGTCAGGGCGTTTCACTCGGAGAAGTCCAGGCCAGGCTAAGGATGCACGAGAGATCTAGGGTTTCGCCGTTCACAACTCGAAAACTGTAGCTTTTTGAGTCGTTTAACTCCTTTTTTCCCGAAAGTTTGTTTGGGACTCTGCGGTGCAGGGATGATGCAGTCGTGCGAGCAAAAAGGAGGGTGGCTCGGGGTTTTTATTTGCCCCGTTTCTACTCGGCTCTCTCGGCTCCCCATCCTGGGTCTCCCCTTTGTACTTTGGGCCTTTCAAGACCGTGCGGCGGTCATACTTCCAACAGATGACAACGAGAGAGCATTGCTTCAACCGAAACATAACACAGACCCTTAACCCGAAACACTTTAAGTTTAGGGCTAGTTTAGGGGTTAAGCAGGGTGTAAGCGTGGTGTTGAGGATCCTCCAGCTTGCTTTGAACCTCAATGCCTCAACCCTCCCGAGGCTCAGGCTCTGATGCGCGTCTGTAGAATCTAGACTCTCCGCCCTGCCTCCCCACGAGTGCCCGCACGTGTGCTTCGTCTGGGGCCCTTGCGGAGGTGGCAGCCTGCAACCGGGCGGAAGTGCTTGATCAGGCTTGGAGAGATGGGGCTCAGCTTTGAGGTCCAAAACCACCCGAGTTCCGACTTGCGGGTTTCTGTTTTAGGTCAGTTTCCATCATACTGCAGGATTTGAGGTTGTGGTAAGTACGTTCTTGGAACCTCCTGGCCATCCTGAAACCTTTTGCTGGTGGCATCTCCCCAAAGCTCTCGTATCTCCCCATCTCCACACGAATCCTTCAGAATGCAAGAAGTCCGGAAGAGTGGGACCCTCGGACTTCAAAAATCTGGGCGATTGGTCGAGTTCGGCTTGAAGGCCTGGGAAGAAAATAGAGGCTGGTCAAGCTTTTCGATGCTTCTGGCTTCTAGTGGACAGATGGTTCATACCTTCGTGCATTCAAGCTGCATTCCTCTTGGGGTTGCATCTCTGCTTGGTGCAAGCAGCATCTGCGTAGGCAACCCTCGTTAAGGTTCTCCAGCCGCAGCTAATTCTAAAGACCATGGCCTTTTTGCAGCGCCCTCTGTGATGTGCTACGGGTGTGGCAGGTGTTCTCAACAATACTACTTTCTGCTAATGGTCAAGTTTGAAGATAACCAAAGGAGGCCTTGGTGTTGTAAGCTTTAGGAGCCTTTCCTAAGGATTTTAACAGACTCGAGCCTTGGGTTTGGACCTAGACTCTATAGACCCCTGATATAGCCCCCAAACACCCCTAGGGAGCGCAGGAAGCACACTGTTCAGGACAACAAAGATCTTGGATTGGGCGAGGGGCCCACAAAATCCAGTGCAACATTCTCGGTAACTAAGCCCGTTCACTCTATGGCCATTGCTGCGGCCCTTGGGACGGTCATCGCTTAAAGCCGGGACCCAAGGTTCTGCCTGCACGCTCTGCTGGGCGTTGCCGACCTGTTGCACAGACTTAACAACTCTGTGCACAAAGAAACAGGGGAGATTTCACCAGATGGAAACCACATGTTGATGATGCTGGCAGCAGCCGGTGGCAGCCCAAACCTCGCACATTTATGCATTTCAAATCCGAGCTTGGCTCACAGGCTCGCGGTGATACCAAGATGCAGCGACGACACAAATCCAGCTCGCCACAAAGATTTCTCAGCACCTCCCTTGCCCCCACACATTGGCAAGGATTGCTGTCGAATGTGCACATTGTCAGGCCGGCAAGTGCTACCTGGACGTTGCAAGCCCACCTCGTGAAGGCACCAAAGGCTAGAGTTTGCTGGTTGCCCCTTACAAACATATGCCATCTGAGGGCACCCGTGCGTGAACCCCAACAACACCGGAACAACCCCCACAAACTAAAGACTTCAGGCTGCCTATACCTAGGGTCCCACAATGAATGAATGTCGCTGCTGCGCATATAAGCCCCCCAAACCTGAGCCTTGAACCTAAACATACCTAAACCGTACAGTGCGATATCAACGGCGGCATCAACAAGCCGCAAGAAGAGCCACTGGTCTCCTTTCAGCGCGACTGGCAAAACAGACTTATACAATCCCAGTGCCACAAACCCTAAGACCGGCACACCGACCGCCCAGCTTTTTCGTCACTTTCCATAGTCGCGCTAGGCATGTCTCGCGACTAGGTAAGTGATACACCCAACCGCTATGGGGAAACAAGGCGCGGAACAATCCGAATCAAGCCTGTTCCGCCCAGAGAGCTTGAACCCTAAAACACTCCCTCCATAGCTAAGCCGAGACCCTATAATATTATAAGCCCCTCAACCTCAACACTCCAAAAAATGCCCTGAAGCTTAATCTGAACCCCCCCAAAAAACACCCAACTGTTTCAAGCAGAAAAAATTCCACAGTAGGATTCCTGACAAGTTGTTGCTCTGGGGTTCAGGCAACACAACCCTTTTGTGGAAAGCCCTCATAATACCTCTACTCAAGACCCCTGTAGCCTTAGAACAGCTCTAGAAGTCCTTCCAAGGGGCCTTGAGATGCTTCTCCGCGGCTGTGACCAAGGAGGCCGCCTTTCCAGTCGAGCGGGGAGCCCTTTCCTGCTTTTTCCTCTGCTTAGGTCAAGGTTTCTGTTGCCTTCTACTTCGCAAGGACAAGCCCCTGTGGCAAGGTAGGCTAGGCTTTTGGGTTTCGGACTTCGGTGCTCACACCCTGCGAGTAGGGCTTAGAGAGTTTGGAGCTTAAAAGTTGCAGTTAGGGTTTAATGGATGGTAGATGGAGGGAGTAGAATATAGTACTTATTCAGCTTGCTGTACTCGTTGTAGCACAGCAAGGCCTACACCTGTTTCCAAGCACAGCTCAGTTCACCTTCCACACCTCCTCCGACCCCAACACAAAACACCCAGTCACAGCTGAAATGCCGTGTCGCCAGCTTCGCTATGCAGCACTACCAGAGCCTCCTTCTTGTCTGGCATCTTGGCCGTCCTGATGGTTCTCAGCCAAGTTAACAGCATCGATCATGACTTGCTGCTACGCTATGCATGATGATTGCCCTTTCAGAACATCAGTCCATGCCCCTGCCCTGCACCTTCGGCCTTGCCTTCTAATCCGAGGCTGGGTGCAATAAGATATCTTAGATAAGGGACAAAGTCACATCAGTTAAGCCTCCAGGGTTTTAGTACGTAGGGTCTGCAAGGCCACGTAGCACTGGCAGACATACAGACAGGAATCTGCTCAAAGCCCTTTCATTGCTCAGGAGAAATCGCTTTCCACGTCTCACGAAAGAACGCAGAGCTAACGACCCTGAATGTTTCAGAAGCCAAACCCACCGAAGCACAAGCCGTAAAGCACCAATCCTGCAAGATGCAACTTCCCAAAAATGGAATAGCCGGTGTAGGACTACTACTAACTAGCATTATAAGAACGCAAACATGGAGCCTGTTTGAAATGTACGTCACTGACTCCTCCCTCCACTCCTCGAAGCTGAGATCAACCGCGCCGCGGCCCCGTCCGCAGCCGCCCCGGAAACAGGGCCACCGCAAGCTCCGAGCCAACCGGTGTGCAACAACGGACTATCAGGCTTTAAAGGTTTCAGGTTCGGGGATTGGAGACGTTCGCAATGTATCATATGCAGACTACGTCAATGTGTGCGAAGCTGTGTACACCTTTTATGCATGCATACCCGAATGTCGACGAGTCCTGTTTCCAAGAGATGCACGTATGCATGCAACAGGCAGGCGTGTGTGTGTGTGTGTGTGGGGGTGTGGGTGTGGGTGTGGGTGTGGGTGTGGGTGTGGGCGTGGGTGTCGGTGTCGGTGTGGGTGTGGGTGTGGGNNGCGTGCGTGCGCATGCGTGCGTGCGCATGTGTGCGTGTGTGTGTGTGTGAGTATGTATGTATGTATGTATGTATGTATGTATGTATGTAGGTAGGTAGGTAGGTAGGTAGGTATATGCATACAGTGACCTGTGTGTAAGCGTGGTGTTGTAACAGGCAAACACGTGCATGTATCGCTGCAGCGTGATTTCTCTAACTCCGGGTATTCCTAGCTGAGACCGGAAACCAAGACGAGTCCGCACAAGGAGTAAGACTCCGACATCTCCGGCCTTCAAGACATCCGAAACTGCCACGAGTACGATTTTGATCAGCAATCAGATTTTTCGCTAGACTTCCTTGGCAGAAGCAATGTTCTCCAGGGAAGCAGCTGTGCCAAATAAACATGTGCAGCGCAGAAACAAGGAACACAACAACGCTTCAAATGCTCGTGCAGCAGGCGCGCCTTGCAGACATGCTTTCGACATACGGGAAATCGGATTGTCGCAAACAGCGTGCAGCAAAGGGACTTTTCAAGCAGTCGTGATGGGAACCATGACCACGATAAAACACCTAAACACCACAGCAGGACACGAATACAACGACAACAGCCTTTGCGCGTCTACCAAATCACCGGTGCAAACCAACACAACCAGGAGCAGACATAGCAGAAACTGCCACAGGAGCAGCAACAATGCCACAGCTGAAGGCAGGAACGTACCAGCAACGCAAGAACACTCAAAGAGATGCACAAGCATCGCTTGAACAAAGACGGAAATTCTGCCGACACCTGCCATCCCGGGTGCCCACACACATGTGGAGGACTGGCCAGTTCACCGTGGTGGGCTCGGAACGCTTATGGCTTCTGGGGTTCAACGGTATCCGGTATCTGATTCGCACTGCAGCATGGGGAGGAGCCCAGAGTAGATACAATTGCGAGTTGTAAACGCAAGCACCAGAACGGAACGGCAGCAGTAACCGTATCCTCTTCCTGTCGAAAACACAACTCCATTCTTTTCAGCCACCTCCTGCGTCCACATTGGCACCGGTTCGAAATAGACTCTCCAAGCTGTCGCAATGGTTCCAGCGAAGCCGTTGCCCAGCGTCATCCACCACAATGCCTGCACGACACCAGCTCTAAACACTGTAACCTGTAAACCTTTCACAAACCGAAAACTTACAACCCTGGAAAGCTTCCATCCGACCAAGTGGCAACGGACTCCCGGTGCTGCTTGCGCCGCGACTAGCAGGTCCTGCAGGGGTTCTACGAAACTGGTCGCAACCACTTAAAAAAGCATCAGAACTCGGACAGATTCCATCATGACGAAACACCCCACTCGCCAATTTTGCATGGAACGTCCTGAAGTGCAGTGACCAAGTGGGTGTGTCTTCAATTTACATATGTTTTGCAGGTAAGTATGCAGTGTTCACGCACGTACATGTCTGTGCATACAAGCGGTCTGCTTTCAATTTAACTAATTAAAAAACAACCAAGATCAATGGCCTGCATGATGTTTGCGCAGCAAAGCTATTTTTTCCTGCGAACGAGTAGCACGTCTCTGCCGGTCTCAATGCTTGTAGCACCAGACGCACCAATTAAAGCAAACGAGTGCGTAGCAGCAGGTGCGAATTATCAAAACTCTGGCAAGTATTCTGGTAAGTGGTACGGGCTCCAAGTGATCAGTGCCATCATTGCCATCTGTCGATCGCCATCATGCTTTGTACTAGTAGTGCCAACCCCCTGCAAACAACGTACAAAGCTGAACAAACAAGCATGATAAAAGTAGTGCGGACAGCAAAAGAAAATGTTCTATGTTCTTCCAAATACATTTGATACGAAACTTGTTCGGGCACGATTCCAATGCTGGTGTAGCTCTCATGCTGACATTCACACATATTCAAAAGTAACAAGGATCTCGGAAGGCTTATGGATGTAGTACCTGGTCTTGGCACCTTGGGATTTTTGCCATCACTACCGCACGACGACCACCAACAAAGATTCTAGCGGAACATCGGCTGGATTGCATGAGACGCTGGGCGTGATTATCATGCTGTCACAACTCGCCAGCCTGTTCTATCCATTCTAAGTCCCCCGGTCTGGTTTCATTGTTTACTTTGTTCATGACCACCACCACCACCACCAACACTACTAGTACTACTTCTGGGCAAATTCTACTACTCCGACTACTACTACTACTACTACTACTACTTCTTCTTATGCTTCTGCTACTGCTACTGCTACTACTACCACTACTACTACTACTACTACTACTACTACTACTACTATAGTAGTAGT